AGAAACTTGTGCGTCACTCTCTCGCTTTTTGACACCTTCAGGCGTAGCTACCTTACCGAAAGGGTCTTTACTTGCATCTAAAACAATGACCCCGCCAGACTCTCTAAATCTCGAATTGATCTAATCTTGGTTGCAGAAGAGCTGGGAGGAGGGCTCTCGGTGACAACAAGACTACCGACAAGCCCATATCCCGGACTTGATCACATAATGTGCATGGCGGTGTGGACGTTTCGCAAACGGCGAGACCAGGGGGCCAGCTACTATAAACTAAACACCCTCCTACTCAAAACCAACTCTTTTCATAAGTACTTAAAACAGGCTTGGGATTTTTTGAAAGATAACCGCCCTCAACAAGACTCACAAATTCAGGACTTGGCTCTGGACCCGATGGAATGAACTTGAGAGCCTCCTCCAAAGAGGGGAGCCCCTAATACAAGACATATTAGCCCGCACCAACTAACGGTTAAATCAACCCACAAAATGTTCAAACCTAAACGTTATCTGAGGGATCTGATCAACGATAGATGGGCCAGACACCTGAACGTGGACCGCACCCTCCTGTCACCAATCCAATGGTTCAAGGACCAAAAATACAAGCTCATGAAAATCACCTCCCTCCAATGGCAGATAGCCCACCGTTGTCTGCCAACTAACGACTGGTTAACCGATCGTACAAACCTCGAACAAGAGGCATACTGCTCTCATGGTGCCAGCGGTGTCAGAGTCTCTTCCCGTCCCACAAGAAGGCAGAAACCATTTAACAAATTTTCATGCAATGCTTGATTAAATGGCGATGGTGGGACCGTACATGGCGTAAAATGGAGATGGTGATGGTGGGACCTTACATGGCGTAAAATGGAACCGGATATTCCCTGACCTTGGTCATGGCAAGCCATATTGGCTGGGCATTGGGTGTTGGCAGGAACAACCATGACCTTCGTAGAGAATATGTACAGACTTGGAAGGAGGGCGGTGATGTAACCTGGTGGTAGAGAATATGTACAGACTTGAAATCACACGTAGATGGTTGGACACAAAAGCACAATTAGCTCTCCTCAGACAAATTGGAGACATCAGATGGATTACGACATTTTGCACGGACTGGGTAGGAGGGGAAAGAGAAGGATGGATTGCAAAAATAGAATGGAGTGGTGACAAACGTGGAGGGTTGCGTGACTTGGAAGAAATGAGAGACTATCGTTTAGTTTTCAAGGACTGGATTAACATAAAGCCCTCGTTCTCATTACGCCCTCTTGTAAAGTAAAGAGATAATCATGTTCCTCATGCCTATTAATAAGTTACCTCCAACGAAGACTTGATTATATATTTCTACAAGCTCCTCTTTTATCCCATCCCAATTTTCCCAAATAACAAGATAAAGTTCGATAGGTAGGCCATCGTCGCCAGGGGCTTTGCCCCTCGCCATTGAATTCAGTGCTTCCCATGCTTCTTCAGTAAATACCGGGCGGTCCATATCCAATTTGCCTTGAGTGGAGAGCCTTTTTCCAAAGTGGATCCGGTGATTCGAATTTTCCGATAGGTCTGTGGTTAGGCCTTTGAGTGGTCTTCTAAGGGCAGCACAAACCAACGAGGGAAGGAGTTGGACGGCTTTGGTGGAGTATCAGCTGGCCAAAGGCTGGGACCGTATCGACCAAGGGAAGGATACCTGGCTGCTACTCACAATGGAATGGAGTACTTAATCCTTTTTGTTCTTTCTTTTTTTCGACGAAGTCCTATCGGCGAAGAAAAACGAAGTCAACATTCTGGCAGGGGATCCTCCAAGCTTGGGAGACAATACCACCCAAGCGTCCGCAAGACCCGAGCACCAGGGATGAGGTGGCTCAGACAGACGGTGTTCGACAACCAGCAGATACTGTGACGGAAGTTCATTAGTGGAATTTCGTTTCGTGGCAACTCCAGGGAAAGGGAATTTGTGCAGAGAATCTGGATTAAGAGGGGCGTCTTAAGAATAGATGACATTTGGGATGTTTTTGTATTTATTTGGTCATCGCTGCACTTAACTCTCCAGGATCCGACTCTCCATTGCAATTTGTGCATGCACTATGAGATGACATGCCAGCACTAGCATTTTGTCGGTTCAGCTCCACGGCACGCTCTCCGAATTCGGCGCCGCCTGGAGAATCTCTCGGACGGCTCTCCCAACAAATGGCGGTTGCAGGTTGTGCACTCTCCGCGGACGGCTCTCCCAAAAAATGGTGGTTGCAGGTTGTGTGCTGTCCGCGGACGGCTCTCCCAAAAAATGGTGGTTGCCGATTGTGTACTCTCCTCCCGCGGCGGAGAGTGCTGTTCGAGAATGTGTTCAGACAACTCCCCGCATTCTTTTTTTTTTTTTTTTTTTTGTGGTCGAATCGGAGACTTACTGTAGGGATGATGAAGAACTGAGTCTCTCCGAAACCACAGAGCGGAGAGTCGTGCAGTGCCGCATACCCTTTCTGATGTACAGTACCATCCAGTGATCCACAGTTTGGGTAACAAATTGAATGAACCAAACAACAACTGAACCAAAACAATCCAGGGCAAACAAAAACAAACAAAGAAGTAGACTGTACAGAGCTAAGCTGGAGGTGAGCCGGACCAAACAGAACAGGGCCACATCATCGCTGCAGCCAAAAAGATGAAAAAGGAGAGCGCTTTGTACATTAAAGAAGCACTTTCAGAGAAAGAAAGCAGAGAACAAAAGTTAAACCACCGGTCCCCCCGACGTCAAAAACCTCGGGGGTACCGGTAGGCACCGTTTCACGACGGGTACCGGTCGTACAACGTGGAGGCCCGCGACGGGTACCGGTCGTACAACGTGGAAAACCGGGCGGGCCTCCGTACGAAATTTGCAACAAAAAATGGAAATAAACCGAATCGGCGCAGCGCATATTTCGACGTCAAAATGATTTTATTTTTTTTTCTGATATTTTTCCCTGAAAGCTCACAACCTTATCTACGGACCCTCCAATTTTCAGACAATTTTATGATTTCTTCTGAGCACAAAAAATCGGCAAAGTTGCCGCTTGCAAAATGGCGGGATTGGACCCGTCGGCCTCCGTAACTGGAAATAAACCGAATCGGCGCGGCGCATATTTCACCGTCAAAATGATTTTATTTTATTTTTTTCTGATATTTTTCCCTGAAAGATCAAGACCCAATCTACGGACCCTCAAAGTTTCAGTTATTTTCATGATTGCTTCTGAGCACCAAAAATCGGCAAAGTTGCCGCTTGCAAAATGACGGGATTGGACCCGTCGGCCCTCCATACAACCCGGCCCTAACTCGCAGAGACTAGGGGTTTTCGGTGGCGGGGGGATCGGTGGTTTAAGGGGTTTAGCCCGGGCCCATTTGCAATGTAACCAAATCTCAGGAGTGCTCGCGATAGCCTGCAAATCTCTTAATGGCACGAGGCGCAAACCCTTTTCGTTGCACTGCCATTGGCCAATCTGTGGAAATGACATGTTTATTAACCGCAAATCACACACACACACACACACACACACACACACACACACACACACACACATGGGCGCGCGCGCGAGCTTCGCCTGCACCTTACGTTTTTATTTGCAAAAGAAAAAAAATAAAAATCTCTTATGGATTTCACCAATTCCATTCGAATCCCTCCCATCGATAGATACAATCTATCGGAGCATTTCCAATGGCATAGATCGATTGGAAT